TTTGGTCTGAAGTGTAATCTGATACGATCCTAGTAGATGTATGTTCTATGTTTATCCTACGATTGTCAAAGTCGAGTCTGGTGTGATATAAAATTGAAAAAAATTAAGATAACATATGAAAAAGGAATTTTATTTGAATTATCGGATTGAAATGATAATACTCCGTATTATAAGACTTAGGAGACTAATGAAAAATATGCAAATAATAACGTACGGCACAAAGAAAAAAATCGAGGTCTTTGATAGTGACACATGCCAACCTAAGCAATGCCGCCATGCACTAGTGCTTATACCGTGGAACCGGTGCATGGTAAGCACTATGCACTCTTTGTTATTTTTTATTTCTCCTTTACTTAAAATTGTTAATAATTTTTTTTATTTTTGATTCGTTTTTTATAAAATTTATATCAAATTTTTTTATTTTTCATTATCTTTCAAATGAGACCAATATTGCCTATGTAGTTTTAATTTTTTACATTCATACATTTTTTTGTAATATATTTTTATATGCATACATTTTTTCTATAATATATTTTTTATCACTTTTATATGTTTTTAGATGTTTTTAAGATATTGAGTTTGTTTATTTTGCTTCTAACTTGGAGTTACATTTGATAATATACGAAGTTACATCATCTTATACTCTAGTTACAAGTTATTATGTGTGAGTTACATTTTGTTATGTGTGAGTTACATCTTGTTATACACGAGTTACATACTTTTATGCGTGAGTTACTTGTAATTATGTGTGAGTTACATCTTGTTATGTGTGAGTTACATCTTGTTACACGAGTTACATACTTTTATGCGCGAGTTACATGTAATTATGTGTGAGTTATATCTAATTATTTGTGATTTTTTACTTATCTGTATCTTGAACTAATTCAATTATAACTGAATTAATTTTTTTCTTTGCCAATTTAATACAAAATTTTATGAATCCACATAAAATAAGTATATTGTATTTCATATTCATACACTATTTTTCAAATGATAAAAATGAAAGATGTAGCAGAGGTTTATTTCGTGGTGTAACTCACCTACATTAAGATGTAACTCGCGTATATTAAGATGTAACTCGCGTACAATAAGATGTAACTCGCGCAGAAGAAGATGTAATTTCATGATATATTATCAAATGTAACTTCAAAATAATTTGTTAAAATTACATAAGCAATATTGGTGTCATTTGATAGATAATGAAAAATAAAAAAATCTGACATAAAATTTATAAAAATCGGATATCAAATAAAAAAGTTATTACAATTTTTAACAATAAAAGAAATAAAAAATAATGGAATCCCACTGAAGCTGTGTCGTTTTGCAACCGGGCGCACCATTCTCATGGTGCGCCGGTTGCAGGGTATAAATTGCGCTGCCCACAAATGTCGAACTCTAGTCAACCCTCTCTTTCTGCATTCGTCTCTAAAGAACCGTAGAAAACAGATCATTCATCACTCTCACTGTCTCAGTCATCGGTATGATATGATCTTGATCTTCTCAATGGGGTCCGTTTCCAAATCCATCGACAGCGAATTCAGTCTGTGTTGCAGAAAGCAGTAATCAAGTAAAGGTGGCGGCTGGAGCTGATGAAATGAGTCTGACTGTGGAGGACTATGAAGAGGCCGGGCTGGTGATTTGCGCCGCCGGCGAGAATCTGGGTCGGACTTAATGAAGAAGATGATCAAAAAATTTCATAAAACAATTCCACTGGAAACCGCCGCAAATGGCGACAGCCGGACAAAGCCTCCTGTTAAATGGCTTATTTGCACTTTTTATGAAAGTTCGATGGCTTATTTGATAGTTCTCCCAAGACTTTAAAAGTATTGACAATTCGGGAAATCGGAAGGGAGCGCACTCTTGCACTAGGTTTCAGAGTGCACACTTGCACTAGTTTTGGCCGCTGCGATGTGTAATCGGCATTGTTTCAGAGGCAGTTTCTCAGCAGATGAGTAGCCGCATATTGAGGGGCGACGAGGTTGGGTGGGGAAAGGTTAGGTGTCGATGTCAATTCCAAACAGGATGAACGACGATATATGCAAGATATTGAAAGAGTTGAGGTCAGAGACAGGAAGGGATGACGAGATGAACAACAAAGACGAAGTATTAATGCCCATTCTTGAACCACCACCTTGGAGAGATCGCGGAATTAAGGATCGGAGGCCCATGTTTCATGGTTGAATTTGGTCACCTTTGCTCTCGTGCTTTACATCTCGTTTAAGTTTCATTTTTTTCTATGTCGTACTTTTTTATTCGGTTACTAATTGTGGGTTAGAGGTGCTTTTTGTTCTGAGAATGAGTGGAAGCAATCAGGTTGATCTGACCGATAATAGTTTTGAATCTCTCGCATGTTCAATAATTAGTCTCGCTCATTTTGAATGGTCTATTCTATTTCTGATCATGGAGTGAGGGGGCATATTGGCTAAGCAGCCTCAAGGGGAGACTTAGTATAAATTAGATTTTATTAATAAAATAAAGAAAAAATTATTTAAAAATAGCCAAAATAGCGCAACCCTCTACAGTAACTTCAGCTAATTCAACCAAAATGCAACTTTGATCTTATTTATTTTGATTTTTGGAAAAATTGAAAATAATAATCTCACCTATTGCCGGTCCACTATTAATAATCTCAACTATCAATTAATAGCTTTCTAATTTCTTTATTTTATGTTATTATATTCTATAAATTATATGATATAGTTTATCACTAAATTCTAGCTATTTGGGACATAGGATTAGGAGGTTTTGGCTATGTTAATGAAAATGTATTAATATTTTAATTTTAAGTAATACATTCTTTCTACATATTTTACAATTTCAAATATATCATTTAAAATTACAATATTAATACATTTTCATTAAAAATAGCCAAAACCTTCAAAACCTATGCCCCAAATCACTAAAAGTGAACGATAAACTATAGTTTATAATTTATTGAATATAGTAATATTAAATAAAGAAAATAAAAAGAAATTATAAATGCTAAAATGGATAAAATAGAGAATTTAGATTTTTAGAATTAACATAGCATAAAAATTAAATAAAATATATTTTCATAAAAAAAACTAGAATAAAGTTTTCAATCATAAAAAAATTTAGTCACATCTGATAATAATACCAAATTGAATAAAGGAAAATAATACCAAATTAAAACTTGTTAACACATCTGGTAATGATAAATTGGAAACAAACAAAAAAAAAATTGTGAAAATAAATAAAAAGGACTAAAACTATTTTATTTAACTTCGGTACATTTGTAGATTTTTCATAGTAATTTTTACATGTTTAAAAATATTTAATTTGAAAATTTATAAAAATATTTTTATATTTTTCTAAAATTGAGAGTTGATAATTGGGATTAATAAAAGAAGATAAACTATAGTTACGAGCATTTATAGCTTATGCATAGTTCACATTCAAATTTGAACTATTAGGATGTTTTTACTTGGACTGTAATTCCTCCCAGACCAGACCAGACCAGACCAGATCAGACCAGACCAGACCAGACTTGGATAGTTATAAAAATACAAAGAAACCAGACCAGACCAGACCAGATCAGACCAGATCAGACCAGACCAGACCAGACAAGACCAGCAAATTACAATCCAAGTAAAAACATCCTTATACCAGGTTGTAGTAGGTTAGAGACTATTTTTGGAAAATGGTCCCTATAGTTGGTACCACCTAGGAATAATCGATAGTTGGGATAATTAATAGCGGAACGATAATAGTTGAGATTATTATTTTCAAATTTTCCTTGATTTTTTTAACTAAAGAAAAATGAGACTTTATTCTAGCCCTATAAATCGGCCAATCATAAAGGAACTATGATCTTACTTATTTTGATTATTACACAATTCAACGCGCAAATTAAAAGCTACGTGTTTGGTGAAAAATTGGCTAATAAGGTTGATAAGCTGAAAAACATGATCACAAAACGGGCTGTAAATCTGCAAACTTTTAATTGTATGCAACCGCACTAATAGGTTTTACTGTTCACGTATAGTTTAACTGCACTAATAGGTTTTACCGTTCACGTATAGTTTAAACTTATTCAAAATTATGTATTGAATAAGTTTCACATATTAATACACTGTACAACGCCAAATTTCATTACAAGACTACTACAACTTGACTCGACAAAGCATATGAGGATTAATGAGAGAGCAAATCATACATATGGATGATATAAGAACATGAAACAACACAAACAAATCTTGATATTGAGGTGCAAGTAATTTAAATTTCCCTTTAAAAAGCTTGATACTAAATTTGGAAATAAAAGATCTGTTTTACAAGACCTAACGGTTGAGTCCTCATCTTGAATAAGAAAAGGGGGGACAGTTTTTTAGTCTTGGTGATGCATAATTTGCAGAGTAACCGTTACGCGTTATGGCCTCAAATGAGTTTAGTGAAGCTGAATGCAAATATACTACATTGCACGTTCCCGAGGTAAATTAAATCCCGTACTCATTAAGTTGTTTTAATTTATTTTGAACTTAATTCATTTAACTTGGTCAAAAGACTACCATCGTGGTGAGATTGTGGGATGCTTGGTTTATATTAATTTATTTTGATTAAATTTAATATTTTAACAATTTTGTGGAATTGTTGTTTTGGTTGACTCCTAGGTATACATGGCCTTAGGATATCTCTTTGAGTCTATAAGAACATAATAGGTTGATTTAGGTATACTCCTAGTATTCTATATAAACTTTGAGTCTCTTTAGAGCAAGGTAATTCCTAACTTATGTTATCCTAGTTTTAATTTGTCTGGATTGAGCTTTGAGATGATGCGTCTTTTAAGGGGTGAAGAATGTGATACCCCAGAAGTTAAATCGAAAATGAAAATGATTACTTTCCCATTTGGATGGCTCCTAAATGGTTTAAATAAGTTGTTTTGAGGCTTGGCCCTCTTGTGAAAGAATCAAAGTCAAAATAGAACTTTGTGAAGACCGCGAGGCGCACATGACGTGCGCACAACGTGCATACGTGAGTGGCAAAAATGTAGGGCTGCAGGTCTGGTGGCACAGGCGTTCGCACGACATGCGTCCCAAGTGCACGATTTTTTCTGGGTGTAGGTGTTTGCACACATTATAGCGCACAACATGAGCACAACAGAGACACGGAACATGCGCAGGTCGCGCATGTGTATGTGCGTACGTATTTCTGCCCCAGTTAATTAATTAGCCAAAATTTGATGTTTCAGCATAAATAGATCTCCAATTTTGATTTCCTTCCTTCTTTGAACCCTGGAACTGACCTTAATTTCTAGAGCTTCTTTTTTGGTATAATCATCTTCAATGATTCTAGGTGTATCAATAAAATAGTGTAATGATTACTTGAAGCACCCCATGGAACACATCTATATACAATAAACACAATTCAATTCTGCAATAGTCTCAAGTGAACCATAAAAAACAAATAATTTCATCACTCTGATCTTGATCTCCTCAATGGGGTCCTTTTATAATCCATCGACGAAAAGTGGTGTTGTAGAGAGCAGTAATCAAGAATTGGCTGCTGGAGCTGATGAAATGAGTGTGAGTGTGGAGGACTACGAAGAGGTTGAGCTGGTGATATGTGCCGCCAGCGAGAATCTTGGGGAGCTGAAGAAGCCATTGATGCTGGTGGACATAGTCAGATTCTTGCTGCCTGGTGTGCTTTCGTCGTCGATTGTGAGGAATTAGCCGATGAAGGTAAGATGGTGGAGGCAGAGGTGCCGATGGTGGTGGAGTGGCCAAGAGCTTGGGAGTTTGAGCGAGATTGGGAATATTTCCAGTGGATTTGGTACTGCCCTGATGTGCTCTTGCTTGATTTACAACTCCCTAATTACAACTATCGTTAGATTAATTATGTTATTCAATTATCCCGTATATATATATATATATATATATGTGTGTGTGTGTGTGTGTATGATGGAGTATATTCCCGTATATTCCAGGAGTATCATAATCACTGGTAAAAAGCATCACAGACCCATTCTAGAACGCACGAAAAGACTAAGTCCACAGCTATACCGACTCCGACCCCGACCAGCCAGGGTTGGGAACAAGCGCTAGTCAACAGAACAAGCTAAGGACCGAGAAGTTGCCCGACCCCGACCTCGACCACCGAGGTCGGGAAAATACCAGGATCAGGAATCGATCAGACTCGGCCATTTATGAGCCCGACCTCGAGACACCCGAGCTCGGTACCAGGTCTGACCCCGGGAGTCAGACACATGGTCAACAAACGCCAAGCAGACAACTACCCGAAGTAGGGAATAGTGGACAAAGGGGCGAGTCCTCCCATCACGAGCCCGAGCTCCCACATATCAACCTCAGTAATCCCCGAGGTCTGAGTGAAGCATCATGGACTTGGACAAAATCCGCAAGGACTTGCCTCACGAGGAGATGTCGCCACGTCGCCATCAACATCAGGGAATATTCTCGGGTACCCACGTGTAGCCACACGGGATCTCCGGCAGCAATTCTGTTAGAAGCAATCTTCAATCAGCCAACTATTAAAGATTCTCTCTCCAATCAGCTTTACACGTGGCTGCTCCCCATCGAATTAGGCTGTTAGTTTGTTAGAGTGGCTTTACACGTGTCCCTCTCCTATTAGCCTAGTATCTTTTTGCTTGGGCACCAAGTATTACCTTTTTATCTCTTAGTATAAATATCACCTTCCTACTTGTGGAAAGGGATGCTTGATGCTTAATCTACCGCACTCTTGAGACTCATATACTGTTATTCGGTCGGACCGAGTACCTGCATTTTTCGATCAGTTCGCTCTTCCCTTTTCTCTCATTTCAGTTGGATTCCAGCCACCCCTGGTCAAATAATCCATATATATATATATATATATATATATATATATATATATATATATATATATATATATGTGTGTGTGTGTGTGTGTGTGTGTGTGTGTGTGTGTGTGTGTGGGTGAGATCACATACAAACCATGTTTAATTCACTAACCTGCAAACTCAATAATATGCAACATTTTGAACTTCAATATGCAGTACAAATAATGTAAAAATGCACTCTTTAAACTTCAATATGCAATACAAATAATGTAAATATGAAACTGCTATTTTATGACTTGAATAATATGAAACACTTTGAACTTCAATGTGCAATACAAATAATGTAAAGATGATTTGACTGTGGGGACTAGTTTGTATGTGATCTCACCCCTACATCTTTATATTATTTTTAGTGCATATTGAAGTTCAAAGTGATGCATATTATTGAGTTTGTAGGTTAGTATTTTAAGCATGGTTTGTATTTGATCTCTTATATATATATATATATATATATATATATTTAATTTAATTTCAATGATGCGAGACTTTTTTTGGAAAATGATTTGAGAGTTTATTTGAGAAATGAGAATAATTATAACGATTAATCTCAATCAAAATAACGGCTTTAAAAGTATTGAAAATTCGGGGAAAACGTAACAGTTAAGTAAAGGTCTTGAATAAGAAAAAGGGGGGCATCTCTTTAGTCTTGATGATGGCTAATATACGTTAAGCGTTATGGTCTCAAGTGAGTGTTGATGAAGCTGAATGCAAATATCTTACATTGCAAGTTCCCAGAGGTAAATGAAATCGATCACGTATTCATTATGGTCTTTTAATTTATTTCAAAATATGCCCTCCAATTTTACCTTGTTGAATAATCAATAAGATCCGTGCTAATTTTGTGCCAATTTCGTGCTACCAGATATATTTTTTATTTATTAATGCTTACAATATTATCACCACAAATGTTTCTTAACATTTGGGTTAATTATATGTTGTTTCACATGAGTGATCAACAATACTTTTTATGTTAACTTAATATTGACAGTTAAATTAGAAAAAAATTCAAAGAGAAAATGTACACATATAAATACTCCCAGCACCATATTCTATTGTTTGTTACAATAAGTTTTGGCACACCATTTAAGGGAAAAAAAGTAGCGGCAGCAAATAGTCTAGTGAAGTATGAGAGAAGGTGGAAAAGTAAGAAAATGAAGATGAAAAAGTAGAAAAAATAAGGGTAATTGAGTATTTTAAATAGAAAACTTACCAAAAAGGGAAAATTTAGAAAATCAAAACACATCCCAAAAAGGAAAGTGTAGCATACATAAGAATACGAAGAAAGTAATTATCTTGCGTAAAATGAATATTTGACTAGAGATAACAGTAGAAGTATACATGATGTGTATTATGACAAGATGCTCATCAAATGTATTTGATAAGAGCAATAGTGTAAGTTCGATTTGTTTTTCTTTAACCAGTCTGACAATAAAATCAGTCTAAATTAAAGTATTCTTATTAGTACAATCCACATTTGTGTACTTACAATTTCAAGAAATTCTAATGTTTCCAAATGAAAAAGTGTGTTACAAAATGTAGTGTAAGAAGAGTTAAAGTTGACCATAATCTTTAACATTTACCACTACCATTAAATAACTAAATAAGAATGCTTTAATGTAGACTACTTTGAGTGTCAAAGCAGTCCAGAGTTCAGACTATATCAAACTTGACTTAAAGTCTTAAACAGAGGAGATGAGGAGATTAGAGCAAACAACTTTGCACCCTATAGGGTTGGAGTGTTAAAGATTTCTTCTCAAGATTTTTCATCAACGCCACGTAATTGAGTTGACTTTTGCGGTCGAATTGCGAACTTCAACAAAAATGTCATTAAGACTTCACCAGTTCCGGATCCAATGAAACCCCAAGTTCAATAAAAAATATATCCACAAACTTTCAATTGTAGGTTAGAAGTTATATCTAAAAGGTTTCAATTATTATATGTAACTTCATTAAACGGTATTATCATTCATGTACAGTTTAACTTTAAATACCTAATTTTGAAAACTTAAAATCTTAGATGCTAAATTTGCATCCTAACTTTTGGTTGTAAGAAATTATGTCTTGAATAAGTTTCACCCATCAATGGCTTTTCCTTCATACCGTCAAATTTTCTTAGATGTTGTTATATCACCACCCCACATTTGTGTCTGGTTTTGTGGTTAAATTTCTAAACTTCAATATAAAAGGCATTAAGATTTCACTACTTCCTCATTCAAATTCAATAAAATGTTACATTCAAGTGTAAGTAATTTCATTAAATATCAAATCTGAAATAAAATTCATATTAACTACATTTTTGCATGGATAGTCCCTACCAATTTCTTAACAACTAGAGATCCGTGCTCAATACGTGCCGATTCCGTGCTACTGGATACATTTTTGTAGTGTATTTATTCATGTTTACAATAATATCATCTTAATATATACTTATAATTTGACTTCATTTATCTGTTTTTTAAAACATATTAAATAACTTAATTATAATTGATAAAGATGACAAGAAACATTACAATCATAAAGCTCAAAGCTACAATGCGATGAGACTTAGAAACAGACGATTCAAATCAAAAACGCTGAATCGCTAATCCCGCAAAGAAGTAGATTCTATCTGCAGATTGACATGGCTCCCTCGGCTTGGACCAAGCTGCACCTTGGTTACGGCCTTTGGGAGACTGCTTTCACTTTATGCTTAGCATAATAACTTTGTGTAATCACTCCATTTAGCGGCCCATTATTGTCATCAGGTCTTCCTGGCCCAAGACCTGAGAGCTCAACCCATATTTCCTCTATAAATATTCACCTTGGGGGTATTTGTAGGGGTTGAAAAATATTAATAGCAAATACTTTCTGACTCTAGTTCTCGATTCTCTCTAGAACTATACGCCAGCTTTAACTTTTAATTGTTGTAACTTTTTAATAACATGCTTCATTTCAAATTGAAAATTGTGAATACCACTCACTTAATTATCTCACTTAGTATTAAAACTACTGGACTAGATCCTATAAATTGTATTTTCATTTTTGTTGTTGAAAATTGAAATTAAAATATAGTTATATTTATGCATGTATTTTTATCTGAGACATATAATAAAGCACAATTTCATTTTTTTATATAATAGTTTTACATTTTTGTTTGAAATTAAGTAAACTCGAATTTGAAATTTATTTTTGCGATATTGCTTTTAGTTAAACAAAATTGATTGTAATTATTTTTTATTTCATTAATTTATTTCTATAATAAAGTAAAAATTATTAGGGGAGAACTATCAAATAAGCCCTCGAACTTTCATAAAAAGTGCAAATAAGCTCTTTTACAGGAGGCTTTGTCCGGCTGTCGCCATTTGTGGCGGTTTCCGGTGGAATTGTTTTATGAAATTTTTTGATTATCTTCTTCATTAAGTCTAGTTTACCCATACCAAAATGAAGATAAAAATTCAATCTTGAAGGCAGACGAATGATTTTCTGAAATATATTGCGCTATCTAACTGCGCAGTTATCTTCAAAAAATCATTTGACTGCCTTTCCGATTGAATTTTTAGCTGAAATTGAGTATGAATAAACTAGACTTAATGAAGAAGATACTCAAAAAATTGCACCTTAAAGCGCCCCAAATGGCGACGACCGGACAGATCCTCCTAAAGGGCTTATTTGCACTTTTTTTGAAAGTTCGAAGGCTTATTTGATAGTTCTCCCAATTATTAAATTTGTCAATTTTTAGTTTATGAATGTTAATTTTCGCTTTTACAAAACTTTTACTTTATGTTTTTCTGTTTATCACCCAATCTACTCAATTAACTTAATAATGGATTAATGATAATAGATGTGTTGGGTGTGATGTAATACCAAGCGGGTGATGGATGTATGAGTTGAATATAAAATATTGTTGATTGCAGGTAAACATTCACCTAATAAATTTGACCCGGTGTTGGACCACTCATGTCATACTTGAGAACAATAGCTAGTTATTACACACATTATTTTCATATTGTAGAAAGTTACACAAGTTAATTGGTTTACACCATAATATACGTTGTTACACGTACTAGTTTTGTTGACTTATGAGTATTTGTATAAATCTTATCTTAACATATTCATTAATTTCTAATTACAACATTAATTTGTGAAACTTGTATGTAGTTACTATACTCCCGTGCAACGCACGGGTATAATTATTAGTTATCAGAATGTATCATGTTTAAACACATGAAGTCAATTAAGAACTTAAATTCTTAGGAGATACACCCGTACACATTACTCTTCTCTTGCACTATTATTAGCGGGATTGGTAGTACTTTTGGATGTTTTTTTTACTTGGACTGTTTTCAGTCCCAGACCAAAGCAGACCAGAATAGATTTAGACAGTTATAAAATACACAGAGACCATACATTTACCAGATCAGACCAGATCAGACCAGACAAAAAAATTCCAGCCTAGGTAAAAACATCCTTTGTAGCGGTACTTAATTTTTACGAAAATGACAATTCAAAACCAACCAATTCATTTAAAAGATCTTGGTTAATTCGAGTTCATATTATGAGAATACATATACATGGCACAATCTTCTATGTTTAATCGAATTGGTGGTTCTTAAAGATACATATATGGCCGGGTTGTGCCCACCTCTATTATGTGATACATCCAAACAATTGAATCCCTATAGCCGATACTCGCATTTGAGAGGTTGTAAATTAGAGTGATTCAGTCAATCCAACAGTGGTAGACCTTATATTTGTGCATATCGGAGGTCCAGCCCAACATACTGTAGTTGTAACTAACGTATGGCTGCTGCAAGTTTTGATCATTGATTATTTCTCCAAATTTATTAACGCTCAATCA